CCTGCCCCAAGCTCAACGACCTCAGCAGCTCCCAGGATTCTTTTCTCCTATGCCTCTCTGGATAACCGTAGAATCCCGTGAATCGCCAGTCAACACCCCCGAGCTCCAAACTGATTTTAGCATCAATAAAATTGGGAGTTGAACCCACCACCTGAACTTGCACTCCCCCAATCCACAACAATGCTAGACCACCCCTGTGGCCCACACAATCCACCGCATGACAGTGGTCCATACCCAGTTTTTTCATAATACTCTCAATCTTCCGTAAATTAGAGAAAGTCTCCATTAAGAAGACTAACGATGGCCGCTTCGAGTGAACCATGTCCACCAATGCCTGAACTGTCGCCGGGTTGCCAAGCCCCCGACAGTTCCAACTAATGCAGCTCATTGATCCCGGCGGGTCTGGAGCCCAGAACCCGCCGCTTCCACGTTTTTTGAAGAAGTAAAAACCATTCCATAAGTTGAGTGGCCATCTCCCGAAGCCGTTGACACTGCCTTACGCTTCTTGGTTAAACCGGTTTCACTAGGGTCTGTGACATCTGCTGCCACCTCATCCTCGTTTGTTGAAGCTGCGGCCTGCAGTGCCGGAGGGCCTCCAAAAATGAATTTACCCTCACTATCCGCAAGCCATTTACTGCCCTTACTAACATTACCTCTCCTGGAGCCAGCTCTCATCCATGATCCAAATGGTTTCTCTATTCCCTCGGCCTGATAAACAAATCTCTTCGGGCACATTCGGTCAACATGGTTCATGAGTCCGATAAACAAATCTCTTCGGGCACAAATCCACCGCATGACAGTGGTCCATACCCAGTTTTTTCATAATAGAGGATCATTTTTAGTACGCTTGGCTTTGATAGAAATCATGTTGAATTCCATACCGAATCTTAATTCTACAATTGCTGTCGAACCCTTGATTCGTGGCTCTCGCAAACAGTCTTCCTCTTCTCCGGAAGAGGCTTATCAGAAATTCAGAATTATTGATTCCGATTTTGGTGCTATATACTACGTATATTGTTTGGGTAGTTAATAGAGTTTTGATAATTTTAAACAATCACAGTAAAATGCATAAATAGTCATTGAACTATCATGGACATATCGTTTTGATCTTTGAATTATTAAATCTATCATTTTAGTCCTTAATCTATTTAATCTATATTAATTGAGTCCTTCCGTTAAATTTTTCAACGGTAGCTACTTTATTAACATCTCATAATTTTAAACATTTTAGAACAATGCAATTATTTTTAAAATTTAAGTAGCTAATCTATTTTTTTTTAAATATACATATATACACATACACAAATAAAAATTATAAATAAATAATTAAATAAATACTATAATACTCCGTACAGTATATGATAGAGAATCAAATACGGAGTAACTTATTATATGCCTATGAGCAAATAAAATTAAATAAGAAAATGAGGACGGTTGTTACTATAATTAATTATAGGGAAAAGTACGGAAAAGATATCTGTGGTTGGGCCCGTTTTCAGACAGGGTCATGTGTTTCATTCTTTATCAAAGTGGTTCATGTGTTTGAATTCCGTTATCACAAGAGGGTCACGTCGTTAAAAACATCTGAAAAAGGCCGTTAAAAGTAACCCCGATTTTCAAAAGTTCCCGAAAAATTAAAAGATAAATACCGGAAGGTGCGCCTCAATAAGACGACCGCTAGGCCATCTTTCTTTTTTTGTTTTCAGCCACCCTTGTCACCGAAAATTCCACCGTAAAAGTGATATCAGCGAAATCATTTTTAAAAAATAATCCAAACAAATCTGAAAAATCCAAAGGCAAAGTTGGTTTGGAGGTCATCTTGATGAGGCGCACCTTTTCCGTATTTTTCTTTTAATTTTCTGGGCACTTTTGAAAATCGGAGTTACTTTTAACGGTCTTTTTCAGATATTTTTAACGGCGTGACCCTCTTGTGATAACGGAATTCAAACACATGAACCACTTTGATAAAGAATGAAACACATGACCCTATCTGAAAACGGGCTCAGCCACAAGTACCTTCTCCATACTTTTCCCTTAATTATATTAAGAGAAAATTAATGACTAAAACTCATCCATTTTTTCAATACATGCCCTCATTAATTTTGCCCAAAATAATACTCCATATTTAAATTCATAATATCTAATAAATAAATAAATAAATAAATGTTTTTTATGGACTAATTTACCCTTACATTTCTTTTCACCATAATATGTCTATAAAACCCTAACTTTCTACTCATTTTCTAAAAACTACAGCCATTAGTCCGTCATCGCGGCACCTGTCATCCCCGTCGTTGTGGCACCCACTGCCCCAATCTCCGCGGCACACACCTCCCCTGTAGCCGCGGTCGTCCCCATGCGCCACCATCATCATCTCCATAAAGTAGGAATAATAAAGAACCACACAAATTATACCAAATTTGGTATGAGATAATTATATTACGTGGTACAGATCGAAAAGGAAAGATGAGACAATCTTAGCGTGATGGAGGGCTTATATAATTTAAGTCATACATTTGGTTTTGTATTATATATTTAATTAATTATTTATAAGTTTTTTATATGTGTATGTGTATATATATGCATATTAAAAAAACTAAATTAGCTACTTAAGTTTTAAGAATGATTGTATTGTTCTAAAATGTCTAGAATTATGAGATGATTGTATGTAAGTAATAAATTAATTACTTACCGTTAAAAATAATGGCAAATTTTAACGGAAGGGATCGATTGATATAGATTGAATAGATTAAGGACTAAAATGATAGATTTAATAGTTCGAGGATCAAAATGATATGGTGATGATAGTTTAAGGACATGAAAGGGTGATGATAGACAATCTTAGCGTGATGGATGGCTTATATAATTTAAGTCATACATTTAGTTTTATATTATATATTTAATTAGTTATTTATAAGTTTTATATGTGTATGTGTATATATGTGCATGTTAAAAAAACTATCATCTTGGATTGAGTAATAAACTAGAAAAGCATCTATTTTGACACTAGTGGCTGTGGGCTCGTGGGAGTGTTTGCTTACTCGTGGTAATGTTTGCAACTGTTTTTGCTTAAAAAAAGCACCTTTGTTAGTGATTTTGGAAAAAATGATTAGTAGTGAATGTTGATAGAATCTGAGCAAAAAGTGATTTTGAAAAGTAAAAGTTGGTAGTGTTTGACGAAATAAGTGCTATTTGTGTAATAGAAAAAGTAAAAAACATTTTTGACATAAAAGTCGAAAAACGTTTTTTTTAAATAGAAGTTACATGAAAACACTAATTTAGCCTTTTTAAGACAAAAGCTGAGAATCGATTTTTTTAAGCTATTGCAAACACTCCGATAGTAAGGAAACAAGAAATGGTGATGACAGACCTGCTAATTTATTGGACTCGAGTCACTTGACTACCTAGTTTTTCATTTTATTTTTTTACAGGGAGCACTTTGTTCGTACGCAAGATTCTTTTTTATCTTCAATTTGCGCATTATACAAACCCAAATACAACACCACCCCCGTAGAGCTCACTTTATTTGATTCTTCAATACTTTAAGAGTAAATTGCTTAGATGGTCCCTAAACTATCATCACCATATCGTTTTGGTCCTTCAACTAATAAATTTATCATTTTAGTCCTTATTCTATTTGATGCATTTTAATCCAGTCCTTCTGTTTCATTTGGCCGTTTACATTAACGGTGGTCAAACATACAATATTTATAAATTGTTATAAGACTCATCCTTAACTAAATAATTCCCCCTTGGCCAAAAAAAACTAGGGTCCATTACCTAAATAGGACTAAAAAGTGACAAAATTTCATAAATAGGATTACATTTTTTAAATTTCCCCTAGTAGGAATATTTATGTTTGTTTGGACAAATATACTCTTGTAGCTTTTGAAATGTTTTAATTAATAATCAAATCATAAAAAATAATAAAAATCATAAAAAATAAAAACAAATCGTAAAAAAAAATTAAAAATCAATAAAATATTTATAAAAAAAATTCAAAAGAAAATTAAAAAAATAAAAAAACGTTAAAAAAACGCTACCGCCTCTGCCACCCCCACCATAACTAGCTCCCATCACCGGAGAAATCCGCCAACATTTTTAGTAATGCCATAATGAAGTAAGATTCAATGAAAATGTTGGCATAATGAAGAGTAATAATGCCATTTTCTAGACATTTTTCAGAAAAATGACATATTTTACAAAAGAGGCAGAATTTTTACAAATCAGAGGTGGTGGTGCTGGGATTATTATTGTTGTTGTTGTTATTACTCCCTCCGTCCCGCTAATATTGTCTCATTTTACCTTTTTGGGATGTCCCACTAAGATTGTCCCACACCATATTTGGTAAAGATTGTGTGGGTCTAAATCATTCCAACTTTATTCTTACTTTATCAATTTAATATCGACCACAGAGGCGGCGGTGTTTTTAATTTTTATTTTTTAATTTTGCTTTTGAAAAAAATAAAATTTTTATTTTATAAATATTTCATTAATTTTTATTATTTTTTACAATTTGTATTATTTTTTTACGGTTTTTATTATTTTTTTATGATTTTATTATTAATTAAAACATTTCAAAAGCTACAAGGATATATTTGTCCAAACACATATAAATAGTCCTATTATGGGAATTTAAAAAATGTAATCCTATTTGTTCAATTTTATCACTTTTTAGTCCTATTTAACTAATTGACCCTAGTATTTTTTGGCCAAAAGGGAATTATTTAATTTAGGATGGGTCTTATAACAATTTATAAATATTGTATGCTTGACCACCGTTAATGTAAACGGCCAAATGAAACGGAAGGACTGAATTAAAATGCATCAAATAGATTAAGGACTAAAATGATAGATTTATTAGTTGAAGGACCAAAACGATATGGTGATGATAGTTTAGGGACTATTCATGTAATTTACTCATACTTTAATTCAATTACCACATTAGAAATAGAAACAGAAATATTCAGAACGATTTTGACTATATGAAATGCAGTTGATCTGTGTATTCATAAAAAATCATCATTGCAGCGCTCATTACATGTGCGAAACTAAACTGAATAAAGCACCATAAGGGACACATAGGCTACATATGAGGGGAACGACTAATATCAATCGCAACACGAGTGAGATTTAATTAAGAAGCTTCTGAAACCAAATGAAACATAAACAATTGATGATGATATCTATATCATAATCAAACATGAACAAGTTGACATATTTTGGAACATATGTACCTTTTTCTGACATGGAGTTATTTTTTGCAACTACATTGAACTGTTTTAACTTCACAGATTTTGGTTGGAAGATGGGGGACATAACTATTTGGAGATCCTCCTGGACTATCATTGTAACTAAGAAGATAGCAGAGTAAATAGATTCAAAAGGATAGTTTTACAAATAAAGATAATCACGCAAATGAAGATAAATCACTACTACGGGATAGCAGCCCATGCACCAACTACGGCAAGCGATACATCCCATAACCAATATCAAATGCTCCATCATCATGAGGGTGATGAAGAACTGGTCCATGGGTTCCACGACAGGCGAGGCAGCCATTAAGACCTGTATCAACTGCATGCAGCATATCCAGAGCCAAAGGAAGATGACAAGGAGGGGGTTACTTATGAGTGCAAATAAAGCAAAGGAAAACACAAAGAAATTCTTCTATCAAGGGAGGGTTTGGGTTTGGGTGACGTACATACCTTCACCAACAGCGCCAAGCATGTAGCAACCATGAACAGTACAAGTAGAGGCTTCCAGGGGTTTGAGAATTGAATCTGGAAGAGATATCTCCGCAAAGAAGAGCATTGTGGATCCATTTGAGTTTTTGGGCTTGGCAGTGAAGTTGGTATGAGCCTTTATATACCCTTTCTTGTCGGGTAGATCGAAATCGGTGCTTCTCTTTGCCTCCACCACCTCATAGGTGACTCCATCCTGGAGGGAAACACAACGCTTACCATCATCACTCTCTCTGTATTCTTTTAAGAAATGCTATGTTACCTACTTTTTTCCATTGTAGAAAAACAAAGTCAAAACACATTTCTGAAAAAATCACTAACCTTACATGAGTTATGGTAGTAGTCAAGTGCTAGCTTAGCAAGACGCCGATCAAACCAATCCATGATTTCTAGATCCTTGGCTGACCACTGAGTTAATGGCGGACCATAACCTCCGCGGCCCTTGACAGGTTTCCCCCTACGCCTACACAGCCCTCACACAGACCTAACCAGACTTAGATAGGTGTCTATCTATTCATTTATGCCCACATCCAACCAAAAAAATAACTAAGCAAATGAACATATAGCCATAATCAGTGGTTACCTAGCAGGTTCCTTCGCCCGAACAGATCTGCTGCAGCTTTTGGTTTTGGAAGGCCTGGTTGCATAAGAACGCAGATGTTAGTCACCTTTACAAATTAACCCAGATAAATAAATGAAATTGTACCTGATCTGTGCCTTGTAGATTGTTCGTGATCTTAACTTGTAGGCCTGTGAAGTCATCACCATTTCTTGTTTGCTCACTAAAAACGTTATTCTATGCTACTTCCTCTCTGCTAGTATTAGGCGGATCCCAGAGACACCAGCTAGTAGAATAGATGCTTTTCTAGTTTATTATTCGATGCAATAAGATATGGTCGGAGGCCTGGAACATAGCATTTTCTATAATAAAAAAAACTATTCCATCTTTTAATCGAAAACAGAGCATACATGTGGTGAGCAATTTCATGTTCTTCAAAGAAAACCATTTGAAAACGAAACCAATTCAAAAAAGTAAGTTGAAAATCACATTGCATATATAGGCTGTTTAACACTATCAAAACTCTATTAACTACCCATTAGTCTACCCAAACAATCGGAATCAATAATTCTGATAACTGATAAGCATCTTCAGGGAAAGAGCCACAAATCAAGGGTTCGTCAGGAATTGTAGAATTAACTCAATTATTAAGGTTCGGTATCGAATTCAACATGATATGCATTAAACCCAAGCGTACTAAAAAAGATCCTTTATAGAATTTAACAGAAAGCCTGGAGAGATTTCAGATCAAGAAAAAGAATTTAACAGAAAGCCTTTATAGAATCACCAGCAAGAAACACCTTCGATTTCAGGCTTCGTCGAAGATTGAACCTTCTTCCCCGCGAGGTAATCGTACTTTGGGCGTGTCGCTTATGGGAGAACGTATTGCCGCGCCGCCTAGTAGAAGTAACCATACTGGCATGAATTAACCATACTACAATATAAATATGATAAAAAAAAACTACAATATAAATATATCTTTTTAGTATTTTCAATATACGACCAATCTATGTTTCATTTTCCTATTTTATTCCTTCTTTTATTCCAAGTAGTATTTTATTAATAACGGAATTATAATTTTATTTATGATAAAAAAATAAAAACAATAAAAACATTTATAAAGATATATAATGAAGTTATATTAAAAACGTAGTAACATAAAATAAACGAAAAATAAAATAAAGATTGAGAAGATTTCAATAAATACATAAAAATAGTACTACATATATGTCTCTCAAAATTGTACCATGTTTGATCACTACATGAAATAATAAAGTAAAATGACTACATGTTCGATCACTACATGAATTTTTTGAGTATGAGATTAGAGATATAATATGAACTATGAATTGATTAATTAAAAGGGGAAATGACAAAGCTTTTTGTACAATAAAAAAAGGAAAAATGTCAAAGTTTTAAAGGATATATATGGAGTATATGTAAACCTTTGCTCGGAAAACTGTGTAGAAATACAAATTTCTATGAAAATATCATTACTCTTTCAAAATACTAAACATTGTTTTCCAGACTGTCATCAAGCTGTAATTTTTTGCAGGTTGGCGTTTTTTCAACAACTGTAGGTGGCGCCGTGGCGGAGTAAGTAGGTGGCGTTGTTGCAAGGTAGTTAAGGTGTGTATATTTTTTATTTATTTGTACATGGTTTATTTTGTTTAAGGTTTATTATTATAAAACAATACGATTAAAGCAAGTGTAGGGGCAGGATATAGGAAGTGTTAGTACTATTTTGAGAATTTGAACTTTATGTTCATGTTCTTATAATGTAACTTTTATTTACTCCTAATTGAGGAATTATCCCTTTTTAATACTCCCCCGCCTCAAAAAAAATCTTTTCACTTGCTCTTTTGAGATGTTCTAAAAAAATAATTCTTCTCATATTTCTCTTTGAAAATTTTTACTCAACTACAACCATACATTTTCACTTTATTCTCATGTTTTTAAATTTTGATCCAGGTCAAACTATGAATAATTTAATGGACGGAAGGAGCAATAACTAGTATACGGATTAGTGACGGATGACTCAATCAAAGTTAATTAATGGTGGTAATTTGAAACAAATGGCAACCAAAGTTAGTGCTTCGTGTGTTTTTTTTGTGGAAGAAGGGGGCTTAAATTGATATCACAGCATTAGCATTCAGATATGGAGTTAAACGACAAAAGGACCATAGACAACCGTCAGCCGTCGAACAAGACTTAGAGTAAATCACCTTACAAAAAGCAATATAACTCGCTTATCCTATAATGGGCATAAATGAGCCAAAGACGGTTAAAGCAGACCCCCAATCACCTAATCCTAATGCAAGAGTCTTACAATAATACAAGTAATCAACAGAAAAATAAACAGTTTGATCATTAAAAATAAATCGCCAGCAAACAGTAAAATTAAAAAGATGCGCCCAAACCCTAGATTTTCTTGCACTCCATGGCGGCAGTTCAGGAGGGAACGATCCAACAGTACTGTAGGTTCTTCCTCATCTTGACTCTTCTTCATCATGTTCTCCACCAAGTCTCTTTTGTCTCCACCTAACATAGATGAGCTCGAATCTAGATCTGTTCCAGCCTCTAGACCCACACTTCGTCCATGATCTTTGGCCATCGGAGACCAAACATCCATCTTCCGTCCCTGTACAACCTTGGCCCGCCTGAGACCAAACATCCTCTTCCCTCCGCTTAATCTCGTCATAGCAAAAGAAGAAAAATTGCTGCACAATTGATGGCGGAAGTACAAACCATGTACGCCTAAGTCCGCCTACGGCGGCCGCTCCTCGTAAAAACGATAGCGGAGGAAAAAACTCTAGCGGTGAAATCTCACCCTAGAGAGAGAAAGAGCTAAAACAAACGATCTGGAGACTAGCCGAGTGCTTCGTGTGATTAAAAAATACTCCCTCCGTCCCTAATAACTTTGCCAAGTTTGACCGGCATGAAGATTAATAAAGTAAAAACTGTGTGTTTGAGGTTTGTGCAGACGAGAGAGAATTATCTGTAACCACAAATTATTTACTTAAAAGGGAAAGTGACAAAGTTAATGAGACATCCAAAAAGGAAAGTTGACAAAGTTATAAAGAAGGGAGAGAGTACCAATTATAATTAGTCATGAATCGTCTTTTACATAACAATCCTGTTTTAGATGTAGTGGGCTAGACTTGAGATGCTGTTTTATATGCAGTGGGCTGGAGTTGGGACACTGTTTTAGATGTAGTGGGCTGCTGCTACTTCGTGACGTCATGACATGAATGCTAAGCTCTCTGGTATGGGCCTTGACTGGCTTTTATTTGGGCTCACATAAATCGCTTGAGGCTTACTTCTCGACATATTATGGATGTTTTTTTAAGATGATTTTTAATACTCCAAAAAAAGACATATGTCACCAAAGTTCTCGTCAGTCACTTATAATTTTGTCAACTTTCTTTTTTTGGATGTCCTATTAACTTTGTCACTTTCCCTTTTAAGTAAATAATTTGTGGTTCCATTTCATTCAAAAAAAGACATATGTCACCAAAGTTCTCGTTAGTCACTTATAACTTTGTCAACTTTTTTTTTTTGGATGTCCTATTAACTTTGTCACTTTCCCTTTTAAGTAAATAATTTGTGGTTCCATTTCATTCTCTCTCCTCTGCACAAACCTCAACCACACAATTTTTATTTTATTATTCCTCGTGCCGGTCAAACATGGCAAAGTTATTAGGGACAAAGGGAGTATGTCATTATAACTTTGTGAATTGTGATGGTGCAGGGATTCAGGTAATCTTATAACCTATCTGAACTCTAAAGTATGTCACCGTCCGGTCCGTCCTATTTTGTAACAACGAGTGCATTATTTTCCAAGTTAATGGGTGTGGTTGGAACTTTATTAGTCAATAAATCGAGCTAGTGAAGTGAACATTTAAGATAGGATTATTTATTTTATTCTTTAGCTTATACTCCGTAGTTCTTGACAATATTCTAATTCTTTAGTCGTTGGATTAATTACAAATATTATATGGGTATAACGCCTATGTAAAAGACGATGACTGTAAATCAGATGTGTTTTCTAAAAGATTTGTTTTGTAAATGGATGCTTTAGCTTAATAAATCAGCTTGTTGGTATTATAGAAGCCATATGTTTAAAACACAACTTGGATTTTTAAAATACACAAATGTGCAACTTGGAAAGATCGATTCATCTCTACATCATTATATTCCAAGTCTTTAAATAGCTAGAATGTATCCCTCGTGGTGGGACAAGGAGAGTTACGATTGTATTCTGTTTATCTGGATTTACCCCACACCCAAGCTATAAGATTGTTCATATTTTTCCAGTACTCGAATTGCTTTTTTACCAAACACAATTTCAACTTGATGTTTATAACAATTGATATGTATCATTTATAGCATAAGTGTTATTTTACACACACAGGTTGGTGAAAAACATACATATTTTTCACCGTACAATTGATACAACTTACATACAATTTACACTTACAAAAACTCTTGTAAAAGATGTTTTAATTTGTAAGTATTACGTATAGATCAAGTTCTGAGTTAAACAATAATTGTCCATTTTTGGTCACACATGTCGGTATGTCTATGATACCAAAAGTGTACGACTTAATGTACAATAAGAGTCTTTATTTTGGTGTCCAATAACTTTGACTATGGGGAGGCCCACACAATATTATTGTTACCAATGACGTGACAAACTGTACCTTCTCCAGGTTTGATTTTCAAAACTTGGAAAGCCAAATGATTAGGGTTCCACGTGGAAGTTTTTGAGTGGCATGCAACCAACACCTTATCCTCATGCAGCTTCTGGCGGCGGCCCAAAACGGAGGCGGTCAAAGCCGTAGTCCCTTCTAAACTGTGGCAATAATAGACTGCATAAGGGTATACCTCTTTATGGCAAACCACAACTTTTTTACCAATCATTTTTGTTCTAATAATGGTAAACTCTTTAACCCCACTGGCACTTTCCCCTTCAATGTCATTTTGGAAGACTCCCACATTTTCCCCAGTGTGGGCTAGACCAAAGTCCACCATATCTTCTAAGGATGTGACACATTTTCTCTGTTCTATTTTGAGCTTAGTCTCACAACTTTCCAAGACCTTCTTTATGTTTTTGACTTGGGGTGAATCGGGCCAGATGAAAAATTTCTTCAATATTTTTGGTAAGTGTTGGGAAGAGAATGGGAATGAATTGGCAACTTGTCTTGGTAAGATTTTTGCCTTGTTTGTGGGTTTAGGTCCCGGAATCCTCAACTTCATGCCAGGAAGAAAGTCCTCCAAGAGGAAGTAGGTAGTCAAATTCTTGTTATCAGTTTCAACTAATTCAGCCGCTTGTTCGTATTTTGGGTTTCCATCTCCTCCTGGATTTGCAGGACCGGTGGTGTGCCAGAAGTGGAAGTCATGCATATCTGTTTATGAAATTGTTAAAAGCAACAAATAGAAAAAAAAAACAAATAGTGTGTCATAAAATTTAATTTGATCGACCAATTATTTATCATTTATCAGTCGATCTTATAAGTCAATCGTAGGTTTTAATTATCAAATGCATAACTAAGCAAGAAAATTTATCAAATACATAACTTTTTGATTACATGTTCTAAGAGCATATATATTTGATAATACCCAAATCAGCTGTATTGGTGATTCTGTTGAAATTTATGAAATTCTTACGGCTCATTCGGCTGATATATGAAAAAATTATATTTAAACTATATTTTACTAGTAAAATAAAGAAAATAAGAAAAAACAGTTAAAATTATTCTCTACAGTAACTTCAGCCGATAAGACACAAAAGTAACTTATACCTTACTTCTTTATTATTACACAATTGAGCGTATTGAAAATTATGTGTTTGGTAAAAAATTTAACTGAATAAACTTGATAAAAAATATGATCACTAAATTAAACGGCTCTATATAACTTACTATATAGAAATACTACGTATTTTAACTATCGATCACCTTATAATTAATTTAGTAAATTAAAG